AGTGAGATTGTCAGCATGGGAGAGAGACTAGTCTAGAAGTTTCTTGGTTGGAATTTATCATTTGAGCTTTACCGTGCTGGAAGTAGTTGGTTTCTCTTGTCAGTCTCAGTTCTGCAGGCCCCCAGTGGAGCTGGAGCCAATCAGCAATGAAAGTGCAGCCTGTCTGAAGTACTGAATCTGCTGGACTAAGAGAGGAGGTCTCGTCCTGTGTCATGGCTCCAAAAGGCACAGCCTGAGTTCATTGCTGAGAGCCCCCACCTGACTAGACCACCCTTTCCTGTAACTTCTACTGGCTGCAACCTGCATTTGAAGGATCCTGGGAGACTCTCAAGCCACACACTGGTTACGTTGTGGCATAGGTGCAGGGATGGGATGGAATTAGGTGAGTCTGGAAGGAAGGAACCAGAACAATCTATGGCAATGAGTAGTCTCTGCTTCGGTCCAGAACCTGAGAGCTTCCTACTCTTCATTCTGCATCATCATCTGTCCCTTTTCTGCTTTGCTCAGACAGGGGCATTTCTGGGTCCCCAGCAATCTGTCCGCACTGTGACACTGCCAGCCAATAGTGCCTTCTTGGGAAACCACAGACACAGCTGTGTCTCCACCAGTCTGAGGACAGCTGGGGCTCTGGGGAAACCCTGGGTTTAATACTCAGTAATAAAAAACAAGTGTCACTAATTCTTTATGTGAGACCTCTTCTCACAATGGTGTTACTGCATGAACAGTCCTTGTGGTCTCATGACATTGAGAAATGAGTTTGTGAGCCTAATGGAGGCTGTTAGGAGAGGCTTTATTGGAAATAATACTAATAAGAGCTCCCTGATTTCCAGGAAGCATCCCTGGAAAAAAGAAAAAGGCCATGTACCCGCTCACACAATCTAGAGCTAATTATAGATAAACAGACCACAGTAATTGGTCAGTTGCTTAGTGACCACATATCAGAAGTGTCTCTGAATTTCGAACAACCATTTTGAATTCAGGACCTCTAACCAGTTTCTTCAGCATGCATGGTTTAACTTGGTCTTTGGGAAAGGTAGGGTAGACATCTACAAGGTGAAGCTTTTAGGTAGTTTCCTGTGTCTAGTGACAGCTCTTTAAGGTGAATGTCCTTAGTGTCATAGATGGGTCGATGGGAGATGGTGACAGCAGGTGATGGCTTTTTTTTTCTTTTTTCTTTTTTTTTTTTTTGGTACCAGGAATCAAACTCAGGACCTTGCACCTGCCAGGCAGTCACTTGTGCCACAGAGCTATATCCCCGGCCCAGACAGCAGGTGATGAAAGAGACATATTTTACTTTTCCTTAGGTGTCCTATCCCAGGTACAGTTGAAGGATTCAGGACCTAGCCCGCTGGTGCCCTTAGAAAACCTGTCCCTCACCTGCAAGGTCTCTGGTGAGTCCATCACCAATGTTTGCCACTGGTGAATCCAGCAGTAACTGGAATGGGATCTGCCAGCCCTCAGGGAAAGGATAGGTGTGAATGGGGTGGATGTGTTGTGGAGGAGGCACTGCTTACAGCCTGACTTTCAAGAGCCATGTCTCTATCACCAGAGAAATATCAAAGAATGAGTTCTCCCTACACCGTATCTCTATGACCACAGAGGACACTGCTGTGTATTACTGTGCAAGACACACAGAGGAGCTTAGTGTGAGACCTGACAGAAACCACCTGCCAGGGTGCTCTTAACCAGCAGGGGCGTGCCACACACATTGGTTTGGTGAACAAACCACAGACTTTGTGAAGAAAACCCTGGGTACTTTTCTCTCCAGGTGATTAGCATCTCCATGAACAGCCCCAGGCAAAGATATTTCTGAATTTCTAAGTCTCTGACCACATCATATTATGTTTTCATAGAATTAGGCATCTATGTTTCTTCCATATTAAAATTACTATCAGTGGCACAGTAACTTTTTAATGAAATCATCATTTATACCTCCACTGACTACACAATCTCCTTAGCTTTTAGGTTTAGAAATATTTAATGTTAAAAAGTAGTTCCCTATTGGTTGCAAGTCTGCCCTAAACCCTCAGATGCATCTGCAGAATGATTTGTATAAATTAAATACCTACAGTTATGAATCTCATCCTGAAGGGCACTTCCCTGCTCTGGTTCATGAAAAACCCTCTACTCTAAATGGGTGGACATCAGGGCTGGGGATTTAGCTCAGCAGCATAGCGCCTGCCTGGCAAGCGCAAGGTTGTGAGTTCGATTCCCAGTACCAGAAAAAAGACAACAACAACAACAAAAGAAAAAAAATGGGTGGACATCGTTCTATATGCTGATCTGAGTGTACACATATAGTTGGAGATGTTTAGTTCTCTACTCTCCTGGATGTTGGGCAATGCCTTGGACAGTGTGGATTCTGTCCACAGTGATAGGGCTTCTCTTGGCACTACCAGCTTCTCCATAGTTAGTAGAAAACCCCAGTGCTGTCACACACTTTACAGTTAAGAGGGATGCACAAGCAACAGTTTACCTGGGTCTGATCTCAATAGTGTTGAGACTCCTACTTCACAATCTCTAGCACAAACTTGGACATAAGGAGTGAGATTCACAAAACCTCTTTCCTGTATTAAAAATATGTTCTAATTTTTCTTCATTCTAGTGTTACCTATGCATCAGGCATACATCAACAACCTGTGCGCATTAAGCTCACACTGCAATGACGAAGGTTGTAGGCTGCCGGTGAAGTAGCCTTGATTCAGCTCAAGTGAGCAGGTTTGCACAGATCTATCAAGCACAAATGCTACTACAATGTTTTGTGTCCAAAATACATAAATTTTGTAGGGAAAATATAGTAATGTCTTTAAATAATTTCTATATCTGTCTGTTATCTATTGATCTAACAATGTATGTTATCTCACTACCTACTTATTTATACCATCTTTTTTCTCAATTATCAGATACTCACTCTATAGCCAGAACTATCTAATGTATGCTGTACCCATTCAAACACATTTTTACTTCTCCAGTAGCTTCTATTTGGATTATCAAGGTGGATCTTATGTAACATCTATCATAATTCAGAATAAAATCCCTAGGATATATGATTTTATCTAAGGTTTACTTTCACTGAAACTTCTTTACTGTATTATATATTTAAGGACAGTAATGTGGTAGGACTTGTTCATGTAGAACTTTGACATTATCTTGAGGACTAGGTACCTATTCCCACTTAGGTGGCCATTATTTCTTAACCTGCAGACTTGACCGATACTTCATGCTTCTGTCTCTCATCTGTGGAAAACATTGGTCTGCAAGAAGACCATGCATTTCCCTGAGGGCCAATTTGCAGAATATAAACACCTCACATTGATTCAGAGAGGGAATTCATGTGAGCTACTCAATTTTATTTGCTTTCTTTATTGGGGAACATGACTAATACGTATACTCCAGACTCTTATCTTCCTGATAGCCATAGCTTTCTCCCTGGTGAGCTATAATTTCTTCAAAGTTTTAAATACTAGCAGCTGATCCAGTGAGAAATAATTAAATGAAAACTATGGAAGAGCCTTATTTTCACCTGAGCCCTTGGAGTAGGCCCCTACGGAAGACACCAAACCAAACTGAAATGATTCATGATCAGTATTATGTAATCACACTTAAACTTCAGGAAAGCAGACCTAAAAATAGACCAATTATTTCTTAAAACAAAGAACTCCAGGTTGTTAGAGGGGGAGTAGTAAGGAACCCCCTCTGCATTAACCTTTAGAAGAAAGTAACTTGGATTTACCCGACATCAGCCAAGCTGGTGATTCTCTGCTTCTTTGTATCTGGCTTACAAAACCCTCTGTTCTACCGTTTCTCATTTTGGTTTCTGTTATGCTCTGTAAAATTTGTCAAAGATTTGTCAATTCATGAATCAAAAATAAAATAAACTAACAGTACAGCTAGCAGTGTTGTTATTATGTCTTTTGACCCAGATGCATGATTTGACCTGAATTAGTGAAGGACATTTTTTGAATTAATGAAGGAAATAGGATAAATTCAGCATTCTTGTTTAGCTTATACTTTAGCACTGTTTTAAGGAAAAGAGCAACGTTTTTTTTCAGCTGCCTGTTTCTTCCACAAACAGCTTAACAGATAAAGGATCCTGGTAAATATATTGATTGGAGAAATATCCATTCTTCCAGTCAGTGCATGTGTGATATGGACATCTTAAATTTACAAGTGCTCACTCATATTAAAGAAAAATACAATTAGATGATATGTTACCACTTTTATAAATTTGAGCAAGTGAACATTAAAGGAACATAAATAAAATCAGTAGTAGCCTGCAGAAATGGTGGAATAAGGGAAGTTTTCTGAAGAGTTTCAGAAGACTAAAGCAGAATTTAATGGAATTGATTCATTCCATATATTGACAATGGTGATGGTTATGCCAAAATTTAACAAATTGTACATTTTGTGTCAAAAGATACCTCATTCATCATTAAAGCTATTATAAATAAAGACAGATAATATTCTATCAAAGGATTACCATGTAGAAAAGCCATTTCCCTTTCCATCATTAGAGGAAGAGGTCTGGAAATATCACAGAGTATGTCCTCTCTGTCTGGGACTTGATCGGATACAACTGACAAGTGTAGACAGGGCTTAGGGCCAAGTACAAGGAATAATATTTTTGTCAGAAAAAATATTAAAAGTATCACATAAATCTTTCATACTTCTAGCTTTGCATGGATGTCTATAAAAATGAAATCATATAAAAATGAACCAGTGCATTATTAATATGCATACATAGATAAACTAAGAAGTGTTAAGAATTTATCACAACAAAATACATAGAAGGCATAACTTTATTAATACTATGAATGTTCCAGTATGTCTCTGAGAACAGTCACATCTCTGTGGGCACAGGTCTCCATGAAGTCCCCACCCCAGAGCTGGCTGTACACCAGGAAGTCATAGGATCAGGGTCTTCCACCACTGATGAAAACCAGCCCTGCCCTGACCCTGCTACTCTGCAGAGGAGTCCAGCTCTAATGCCAGGTGTTTCCTCTTGGGATCAGGATTGAAAACAGAGGGTCGCCATTGAGTTTGGGCTGAGCTGAGTTTTCTTTCTTGCTATTTCAAAGGTAATTCATGGAGCATAAAAGATACTGAGTGTGTTAGCAGACATGAGTAGGATAAACAGTAGACCTGTGTGACAGTTCTCTAAGCAGGATGTCTCTGTGTTTGCAGGTGTCCAGTGTGAGGTGCAGCTGGTGGAGTTCGGGGAGACATGCTGCAGCCTGAAGGGTCCCTGAGACTCCTTGTTGCCTCTGGATTCTCCTTCAGCGATTACGACCTGAACCAGGTCCATCAGGCTCCAGGAAAGCAGCAGGAATCGGTTGGTCTTGTTAGAAAAAGAAACAAAGATAACGGATACACGACAGAATACTCCACATCTGTGAAAGAGAAATTCACCATTTCTAGAGATGATTCCAAAAGCACGGGGTATCTGCACTCACAAATTCGGAGAACCAAGATCGCGGCCTTGTGTTACACTGAAAGAGACAATGAGGAAAAATCTGGAATCCCAGACACAAACCTCCTTGCAGCGGCGCTCGCGGCCAGCAGGGGGCAGTCAGGACACACTGAATTGAGGGTCATCCATAAAGCAGGTGCAAGGTGGCCTGGTGGGAGCCGTTAACAGCTGGTTTCCTGTCATGGTCTGAAGCTTCCTCTCCTTCTAATGTTTTTCCAGAGAACAATTTTAAATGTATGATCCTGTTCCTACCACTGATTTCTCTGAATTGGGAAAGTTTTATGGGGAAACAATATGGGGACACATTCTCACCTGCCTGAAAGTCCATGAGGCCCTTATCGAAGCAGACATGAATGCGGTCAGCAGGATCGGATCCTGAGGAAGCTCAGGGAACCTTGTGAGTCTTCCAATCAGACTCAGCACAGAGATCTCAGGTCCTCAAACTGGACAAATTTGAGAACATAGATTGAATCCAGTAGGCTGATGATGCATGGGTGATGTCCTCTACTCTATGATATAATTTGTATCAGTCTTTTCTCAGAAGAACTCTTCACAACTGTCTTAGCAATGGTGGGGATCCTCTTTGACTGCAAATTCGTGCCATCTATCCCAGGGTTTTAGTGAAAATCTGTTTATCTCCTTCCCCTTGAAAATGGATGCTATGTGTTCTCTGGTTTTAATGCCAGAGCTCATCTCCTTGACCTGGCCCTAAGGCCAAGCAATGACCCCTGGCAGCGACCTGGCCAGTGCTGAAGGAAGTTCTCAGTATCCGTTGTCCAGGTGCCCGCTCTAGGGCAGAAATTTCACAGTGAGATAGCCTCGTGGTGAAAGGTTATTCATCTTGTTGCAGTTGGGAAGCAGAGATGGGATGAGTCGGTGACAGGCTTATACCTTTCCAGGTCACGTTCCAGAGACCAGACCCTCAGGCTGGGCCCACCTCCCAACATAAGGCTTTTGGGGACGTTTTAGATCAAACCTGTAATACACATCTGCACAACACCTTCAAGTGACATCTGGACCCCTGTTTAATTTAATCACAAGCCAGGATGGTCCAGCCTGGTCCTACATGAAACTGGCCATTGTCATGGTTATTTTAAAATTAATCTTGGCCAAGCTGCTTTTATTGGTAAATTGGCTAAACTATTATTATTTGTCTTCTGATAAACACTAATTCTCGGGTGATTTTGTGATCACTGTTTCATGGAAATTTTCAGCTTTTTGAAAATGCAGAGTAGCAGGATGAGTCTGGAAGGCCACAGTGGACATGTGAGTCTGAGTTGAGGAAAGGGTGGAAAGATGAACTCTCTGAGGAGACTGGCTTTAGTTCTTGAGACATTTAGCACAGTTTACCTTTGAAGCTGACTGGTCTTGGGGTTTTTTTGCTTTTTTCAATTAATGACTAAATCTTGTTATTTATAATTGGTCCATGCAAACCTTACATTTCTTTATCATTTTATTCTTTTCAGAATGAATATCAAAGTGAACCGTTCATATGTTAGGTTACAAAATTTATTTTTGTAGAATTACTCATTATATTCCACATATAAAAGTGCACACATATAAAATACATAAAATCAATCATTATGTAATATATACTATTCTATGCAGTATTGATTATATTTTACATCATTATGTATTGATCAAGAAATACATATTCAAAATATATAGGGTCCTCCAAAAAAAATCATACACACTTCAGGAAAAGAAAAATAGTGTGATGTTTTTTCAACAGATGGTGATACATTTGTGTGGGGGACCCTAGAGGATGTTGTATATCACTGATAACCCATTGCACTGCCGTCCCTTAGAGAAGAAATTGAAAATGTGTGTGCAGCAATCTCAATGACCAAGGTCACCCCAATGGCAGTTCACCATACTAACAGATGTCTGGAAGCTAATGGCCACCACTTTGAGGACCTGTTGTAATTGCAGAGGCCAAAGGTAATTTGTATTAATCTCCTACCTAAATAAATTTAGTATTAAAATGTTTATACAAATTTTTCTTTTCTTGAAATGTATAAATATGTATATATTTTTGGAGATATATATATAGCAATCGTTCTAATTTTGCATCTTTTATCCAGATTTGAAAACTTTTTTTTTTTTTTTTAAGTTTTTCTCTGGTGCCAAGAACCGAACTCACAACCTTGCGCTTGCCAGGCAGGCGCTTTTGCTGCTGAGCTAAATCCCCAGCCCCTTGAAAACATTTATTTGATTATTTACTTAACAGTTTGTCCTTTCTCTATCTGTGCTAATAAAACAATTTTGTTCAATTTTTTTCTATTTTAAATTTTAAAAATTTGATTAACATGGAATAACTGCACGTATTTATAGGATGTAGTATAATATTTTAAAACATGGACATAATATGTATTGATTAATTGTGGCTAATTAACCTTTCTTGTCTATCTTTTCTTTTTTGTTTTTGTTTTTGTTTTTTTTTCCCAGTACCAGGAATCGAACTCATGACCTCGCACTTGCCAGGCAGGCGCTGTGCCGCTGAGCTAAATCCCCAGCCCCACTAATTAACCTAATTAAGGTTACGCTCTGCTAGTTAGTCAGAATGTATTTAACAGGAGGCTGTGAGCTGTACTCACCACTCTGTGCTGGAGAAATTCAGAACTTACTCTGTTTCTTTTTAATGCTTTTGGCACCTGTTAGCTAACATCATTCTCCTTACAACACTTTGCAGCTTCTAGCCATTACTCTTCTACTGTCTGATCAACTTGTTTTATCCTCCACCATGAGAGAGAACCTGTAGCACTTTCCTTTATGTATCTGACTTCTTCACCTAACACAGTGTCCTCCTGTTCTATTCATATTGCTGCAAAGGAAAAGGTTTCATTTTTTAAAGGATGTGGTGATTAGAGATCAGTATACGTTAATATACATTATTTTACATTTTATTTCTGCTCTGTTATTGATTTATTCTTTTCTTTTGTAAAATTTCTGCTTGATTTCCGCTTCCTTGTCTTGGTCGTTGATGGGTGAACACAGATGTTGCCTTGGAGTCTTTGCCAGTGTGGAATCCATGTGTTCATTACTACAAGTTTCTTATTCTCACTGCTTCTTTCTGCTGTATCTGAGCAGTTTTCATGTTGCATTTTAATTTTCATGTTGCAGATGATATTCAGTTCCCCTTTCATTAATTTTTTCATCCAAGCATTGTTTGACAGTGAATTGTTTGGTATCTATATATCCTTAATTCATGTCCTATCGCAAATAACACAATATCACAACCTGGAAACTCTCCATCCATGATGTTGGCTTCATCTGAGATAATGCATCAAATTTTTCATGCAGTGGAAACTCTAAAATGGTGAGTCAGTGTAAATTTTCACAGGTACTATTTAGAGTAATAGACAAAGCAGAGAAAATAAGTCCTGAGAACTGTGGTGGTCATTACTACCCCTGAGACGATGTGGAGAAGCCCTTGGAATATCTTTCCAGGAAGAGTTTAGAAAGCAATGGAAGAGCAACCTGGAGCATTTAGCAGAGCCTGGATGATTCCAGTGGAGACTGAGGCAATGGAGAAGAATGTGTCAGTGAGGTGACACTGATGAGGTTTCAGATGGTAAAAAGGATGCAGTTAGGAATTGAAATAAGGACTACAACATACACCATGGGAGAGAACTTGGGTGCATTTAATTTATGCTCTGAGACTTTGTGGGAGGCAGAATTAAGGACATTAAAGACGTTTTCCTTTTGGATAACATTTAAAGCTGTGCAGAATTCAGACAGCAGTGTGGGCACTACAGGCTGCTTATAGCCATATTGGTAGTAAGAACTGGGGACAGAAAATGTCAGAGGAGTAAAACTTGGAAAAGTCCCAGCTTGGCCACCAAAGCAGCACAAGTACAATTGCACCCAAGGAGGGGGCAGGTGGTAAAGAATTGAGTGCCGTTAAAAAGAAGCCATTTTCTTTGCTCCAGAGTAAAAGAAAAGAGAGCACGTTGCCATGTCAGGAGTTGACTAGGCCATGGAAATTGCAGGCTTAATGGTGAAAACATGCAAATTTGTTTCTAAGGCTTGCAGGCTCTTTTAGAATACAGACCTGGGGTACTTGGATTTTCCAGGACAGCCTGAGCCAATAAGGCGCTCAGAGGCCACTTTCGGCACCCTCACAACTGCATCCTAGTACAGTTCGGATCCATGGCAGACCTTGGCCTCATATCATGCTGGTCCTTAAAAGATGCATAATGCAAAGGTGTACAGGTGTAAGACATCCACTGAAATTTCAAAGGAAAGCCCAGGAGGCCAGGCAATGTTGAGCAAGGTTAGTGTTCCTGAAAACTGCGGGTGATGTGTGGAGCTGTCAGGTGAAGCCAGTGTCACAGCTGTGATGGATGGAGTTAGTGATTCCAGGGACATGGGACACTTCCTATGGGAAGCTACAGGAACTGTGAAAATCCAGCTCAAATGAACAGCTGTGTATGCTGCAGCTGGGACTAGGATACTATTTTCTCATCTCTTTGTTAACCTAGTTATTCCAAAAGCATTTTTTTCCTAATGGTTTAATGTCTTCCTTTATTTCAAATGTCATTTCAAAAACTAGAGGCCTAAGAGGTCCTCTGTAATAGGACAAGCTTGAGACATTTCTACCTAAATGGATGCACCTTGAGACCATACTCTTCAGTGAAATAAATAAAGACATACACGTTTAAATACTGCATTGTTTTGTGGTGTGAGAAACCAAAAGTTTAAGTAAGGATCAAAATGTGTAGTAGACATTGGGAAATGGGAAGAAAATGCTCAAATGAGAAGAGGAATAAGGCAGGGATGTGGATAGAAGGAAGGGACAAGAAAAACAGAGAATAGATAGAAAAAAGGGAAACAAAACTTTTATAAATGAGGGGAAGAAGAGTAGAAAGGGGTGGGTAATGATAAATGGAAAAAGCAAGATATATCAAATACAGGTGAAAATTCCATATGTAGAATAAAAAATAAGTATGACTGTGCAGATTGAATATAGTTCTGACTTCCTAATTTACCTCATTATCTATTGGAAGTCTGTAATATTAGGTAGTTTAATGTCAGATGAAAATATGTTTTGAAGTCATATTTTGAAAGTCCTCTCACACCTTACTTTAAATAGTGTGTTATTCCTCTACCTTATTTAACTTGACATGAATTTGACACAAAATCATTCTAGACATGGTGTTCTTTTTTCTTTTTTTGGTACCAGGAATCGAACTCAGGACCTTCACAAAATCATTATAGAGAAACAATGCTTGAAAGCTAGAAGAAAAGGAAAGAAGTATGAAAGGAAGGAGAACTATTTGAGGAAAAAGCATGCACAAAGATTTATGAGATATCCACTCACAGTTTTATTTCTCTTTTTTACAATTTTGGTGGCTATGTGATTTTTAAAATTATTATTATTGGCTTTTGCCTTTTTAAGATAGGTTTTTACTATGCAGTTCACGCTGGACTTGAACTCACTTCGTAACCCAGGCTGGCCTCGGACTTGCAGCAATCCTCCCGCCTCAGCCTCCTGAGTTCTGGGATTATAGGCATGTGCCACCAGGCTATTATTTTAAAAGGAAGAAAAAATAATACAGCAGCCAGGGATTTAGCTCAGCGGCACAGCACCTGCCTGGCAAGCGCGAGGTTATGAGCTCTATTCCTGGTACCGGAAAAACAACAACAACAAAAATACAGACTTTCAAAACAAGATAATTGGAGAGGACCAAAAATTAATACATCATGTATTGTTATCTTCATAGTAGTTACTCAGAGTATAAGATATAGGTATAAAATATTGTCAGTACAATATTAGCCCAACTTTTCTTTTCAGTGACCTAAGAGAAACTAGCTGTGAGACTTCATGTTCCCTCATAGTCTACATTCAGATAATGTTTAATGATGTCCTCTGTCCATGCTCAGCATAGTCACATGCCTTTGCTTACAGATATTTTCTCTGCTATCCACATTGTTTTCACGTTGCCTGGAAAATTCCTTTCTGTCATTGAAACTACTACAAGTAAAGTGCCAACCCATTCACTAAGCTAGTGAGATTCACACTCCCTTATTTTATAATCTCACAATATCTTGTCCTTTTAAAAATTTTCTCATGTGGCCACCACTCTGAGTTCCATGTTCATTGATTTATAAATATTATACATGCTGAGAGAAAAGAATGACTATGAACAAAAGCTCTTCTGGGGGTTGGGGATTTAGCTCAGCGACACAGCGCCTGCCTGGCAAGCACGAGGTCGTGAGTTCGATTCCCAGTACCGGAGCAAAGCTCTTCTGTGGCCTCAGCTTCTTGTGATTCAAGTTGGGAAATTCTCTTGCACTGAGCATGACAGATTGTAATAAAAATAAGACAAGATAAGCCAAGTGTTCGTAGATGTTTAGTTATGTTGAAATGCCATGGCAAGGAGTGAGAGAAGACATCTGGAAGTGATTATATATAAATGAGACCTGAAATATGTATATATATGATGTGGGTAAAATGTTGACCTGGAGAATCAATCTACAGCTAAAACAGCATGTGTATTTCAGGGTACATGCAGATGGAAGTGTTACAATATTACATTGTGTCAACCTATTAAGTATTATTAGAGTGTTTCCCAGAAATCATTGTCATACACAGCTTCACATCATTGTGGATATTCTTCATGGGTTCCTCTGAGTTACCACGTACAAGTGTAACTACTGCTAATAAGGAGACCTACATCAGTTTTCAAAATACTGTGCAACAGGATTCCAGGTGTCTGTTGCCATGGGTTGGTATTAAGCATGTGTTCATGGTTAGATGTCTGTATGTACTGGGTGACTTCTGCTTATATAGTAGTCATCGTGACATGCAAAGAATTGCTGGAGTCAAACTGAAGTATGTGCACAGGAAAGAAATCTGTTTAGAGCATTCATACAGAAAAATTCATTTGTATAGTTTTCTGAAGAAAGAATTGATGTATTTGAAAGTTTATTGATAACAGATACCTAACAGGAATTGAATTTTTATGGTTGTTGTTCTTGTCACAGGGAAAAAATTCCTGACATGCAAAAGAAAAAAATTATTTTGTCTCACAATTTCTGAGACTGCAGTGTTGATTAAATCTCTTTTAATGTAGAGCTATCATGGTAAATAAAAATAAAGGACAAAGATACGAACTTAAAGAGACCCAGGATCCAGAGAAGGGAAACAAGCTAAGAGGAAGGGTCCAGGGACCAAACTAGCTTGCTCGGGTCACAGTATCATGTCTCAGACAGACACACCAAGAAGTGTGCTTTACTAATATCCAGTACATAGCTCAAAACAAACAAGTTATTAACAAGTGTATCTGTCATCTGACTCAATGCAATTTTTTTCCAGGAATATTAGTGTTGAAAGTTGGAAAATTTCAACCTGTGATGAGTCATGACAGGACATGGGGCGCTTACAGTCCTAAAGTCCTTTTGCATCCCAGCCTCATCTCCATGAACTGTTCAGGTGCGTCAAATGTTGGGCTGTTATGACCGTGGATAAACCGTGAAGGTTGACTGAGGGAGTTGGAATGCTTGCTTTTCTTTCATTTTCACTCTTGCACAATATTGCTATCATTGAAATCTAATTTCTTCATTTACACAGTAATTGTATTCCTCTTAGAGACCATACATTCATGTTAATGGATGAAAATTAGTAGACTGAGAGACTGAAAGTCTCGGCAGTGAAATCGAGAAGGAATAAGTTCCCGCCTTATTCCTAACAGCAGGGCCTCCCTCTATTCCATTTAATCCTGGGATGGCCTGGTCTCATACGCTTTCAGTCATCAGCGGATTGATTCTTCCACAGAACACTGACCCTGGAGCCCTTTGAGCACATTTGTGACCCATTTTCAGGAAGAGTACACCGAGTCCATTAAGAAAACTAGGGCAGCTCTGAAAAGCCAGAAGCAAAGCCCTCAAATGCAAGCATTCCTCAGGCGAGGTGAGACTGAAATCTAAGGAAAGCGACTGGTACCGAATTTCCTAGGCTACAAGGTCACAGTTGAGTCCACCTCTACTCTGAGAAGTTTGTCGGTCCCTTCACATTCAGCCCGCGGGGCTGGCAATGACGCAGGAGCCAATCAGCGATGAAGGCGGGGAATGGCTAAATTGCCCAATCAGGTGGGCCCAGAGAAGAGGGCACTTCCTGTAATCCTCGGTTAAGGCAGGAAATGGCTAAACTACCCAATCAGGTGGGCCGAGGGGGAGGGCACTTCTTGTGTCATGGCGCCAGAGTGATCGTTGCTGAGATCTCCTAACGGACGGGAAGGCCGTTTTTGGTAATTTCTACTGGCTGCGAGCTGCGTTCGGAGAGTCTTGGGAGACCTTCATGCCACGCAATGGTAAGGTTGTGGGACGGGAGCTGTGGACGGGATGGAATCTGGTGTATTCGGGATGGAAGTGGTTAGAAACAGCTATGGCAATCTACAGCGACCCTGCTTAACTCCGGATACGAGGTCTTCCTATTCCTTGATACCACGTCATTGTCTGTAACATTTTTCCCTTTGCTCAAGCAGGGACAGTTCTGGGTCCCCAGCACACAAAAACCTTGCTGTGACTCCACTATTCTATTTTATTTTCGTCTGGTGTGGTTTTTTAAGACAAGGTCTCGCGATGAAGTTCAGGCTGGTGTTCAACTGGCAGCAATCCTCCTGCCTCAGCCTCCCAACTGCTGGGCTTACAGACGTGCGCCAGCACACCAGACCAACCCAGCATACCTTCTTGATCCGTTCCCAGGCACAGCTGTATCTCCACAGGTTTACAGAGAGCAGGAGCTTTGGGAAAGCCCTGGGTTTCATACTCTGCAATGAGAAAATCATCACTATTTTGTACATCAGACTTGCAGTTGTGCTTACTGCACGAACAGAGCTCGTGGTCTCATAATATTGAGGAATGAGGTCGAGAACCTAAAAAGGTCATTAGGAGAGCTTTTAATTGAAATAAGAATAGGTCCCTGGTTTTCGGAAGAGTCCTGAGTGAGTTGCCCTGTAGCCTAGCAATCCATAGCTAATTATAGATAAGCAGAGCATAGTAAATACTCAGTTGTTTAGTGGGGACCTATCACAGGTTCCTCTGTGAATTTAAAACAACCCTTTGAACTCGGACTCTAACCAGTTTCTTCATCATGCACTGCTAAAAAGAAACAGATTTTAGAGAAATACTCGTTATTTTGTATTTTAAGTTTCTAGAAACTCAGAAACTTAATAAGGCATGGCTGCAACTCCTTTTTTTTTTTTTTTTTTTTTTCCTTTTTGAGACAGGGTCTCGCTGTGCAGTTAAGGCTGGCCTTGAGCTCACTTTGTAGCCCAGGCTGGTCTCCAACTCCCAACAGTCCTCCTGCTTGAGCCTCCCAAGTGCTGGGATTACAGGTGTGCACCACCACACCCGGCTTGCAACACCTTTTAGTAAGGTGGGTTGGCATTGCTTGGGTAGAAAGTTCACTCTTGTTCCAGTATTCTAGGAAATTCTGTTTTCATTTTAATTCTTATCAAAACGTCTAATTTCCCAATTCTATCTCAAGCCTTTCCCTAGCTTGATGCTTTATTTATATGCTAACAAAACAAATTATTCTTTACATTTAGACTATTTAAGTGAGGATTTCTATAGAGTTTAGAAAGTTGAGAAAGATGGGTTGGTGTTAATGAGTTTCCATGGGAGAGGAAAGTGACACTGCTAAGAACAACTTCCTGAAGGGTCTGTCTGTTAAAACCACACTGAAAAATGCTTTGAAGTGGGGCATCTACAGAGATGTGTACATGTGATATTGGAATGATGGGAAAGGGAAATCATCTCAAAAGTAATTGCTTCGTAATCTGTGGACTGTTTTTAGACATTATTTTAAAAGGTGAAACACCCAATTAGATATTTACATAAAAGAAGTGCTTGGCCAAGCGTGGTGGCCCATGCCTGATCCCAACACTATAGAGGCTAAGGCAGGAGAATCTCTTTCAGTTCTAGGCCAGCCTGCTCTACAAAGTGAGTTCGAGGCAGCCTGAATTACATAGTGAAACCTCCTCTCAAAAGGACAAAAAGAAAAGTACTGAAGGAGGAGTAAATTCCCACAGTTAAGGTCAGCAGGCACTTGAAGGAATAGAATAAAAGGATTTTTTGAACAGGCAAGAGCAAATGAGAGTGTAACAGAAATGAGGAAGTGTGGGATTTGGGAGGGTGGCAAAAAGCAGCAGCCACAACAGTCAATTTCTCCAGAAGTCAGATTTTTTTGATTTGCTAATAAATGAAGGAATCTCTGCTGGCCTGTTCTGAGATTAAATCAAAGTTCACAGGCCTAAAGAAAGGAGGAGAATTTAGTAACAGATAAATATTTCTTCTGTAGCTACTGATGAACTAATCATTTTTGAGGCAAAATTAGAAATTAGGAAGCTGGTCTTATTGTAGGTTTAAAAATAGGACAGACAGCATCACTGATTTAGAGTGGGAAGGGGTTTCTCTTGGACACAAAAGATTTCAAGGTGTCTTTGAACTTTTTATTGTACAGGGAGTGAACTCAGGAATTTTACCCTGAGCTTCATTCTCCCAAGTTTATTTTTCTTTCTTTCTTTCTCTCTTTCTTTCTTCCTCTTTTTTTTTTTTTTTAATTTTTTGAGTCTGGATCTTACTCAGTTGCCCTGGCTTGGGAGAAATTTTTATAGTTTCCACCTCCTTGACTGTTGGGAACGCAGACAGGTGCCACTTTGCTAGTTTAAGATTGGGGTTCCTTAGTCACCATGATTTACCAAGATTTCAGTGTGGGGTAAAATAAAGGCATGGCGTGGTGCACACCTTTAACGCCAGCTACTTGGGAAACTTAGAAAAGAGTCTGAAATTACCAGTGCAAGTCTAGATAGCTGAGCAAGTCCCGTTTTCAATATGGACTGTCTTGGGGGGCTGGGGATATAGCTCAGTGGCACAAACTCTGGCCTGGCAAATACAAGATCCTGAGTTCGATTTCTGGTATGAAAAAAAAAAAGAAATATTTTGGGGTGTACCTCAACTCTAATGTAACTTGCCTAATGTGCATGAAGCCTTAAGTTTAGTGACAAAGAGAAAATGAAAAATTATTTAGTGAAAATCTTGCTTTTAATTTTGGTATTTACTCATTTTTCACACTAGTGATACATGGTACAATACTCCCTCATAGTGGTGGATAGCAGTAAGGAGTCACTGCTCTGACAAAAACAGGACAGCAAGTGTGAACAACCAGTTATTTACACTGTACTCTGTTCAGTAACATACATGAGATCTTTAGATATCTATTGTCAAGACATATGGGTTGAGCAGGTTGAAAGGATTCAAGACTTAGCCATGATGTTTGCTCATGTTCTGTGCCTTTTCAGTACATTTTATCTTCAATTACCTTTGGGTTGATGCAGATATTTTCCCTTTTAAAATAAAGTAGCATCTGTAGAGTCATTCCTTCAACTCTTCATATAGTCCTCTGCTGAACGTGACACTCATCTAGTTGTTTCTTGTTTTGAATGCTTATTATTCATTTATCCTGAGCAACCAAATTAGGAGAACAGTATAATAATTATTTTGAAAAGAGGGAAAATACTCTGGGTTGTATTTTTTTTTTTCTTCACTTCCTTTTCATTTTTTTTTATTATTATAAAGAGCTATCCCACTCTGGTCACATTGTTTGGATCACATCACAAGGAAAAGGGGATAGGGTGGTAATTTTCAATGAAAAAATACAGGGCTGAGCAATTAGAACACAAGACACCAAGCATGTGCAAGGTTGAAGGGAAAACATTTCCATTTCTAGTTTTAATTTATGCTGATTATCGGAACACTTCTAACCGCTTTAACCTTGATCATCATCTGTCTTTCTACACTGGAATTATTCCTCCTACAGGCACTTTAAGTTCCAAGCCTGTATCTATACTTTTGTACCTTACAGTTAGAGAGTATGCAGTTCTTTGTGCAGGACATACTGCACATTAGATACTTTCATCTTCATAACCACCTCATGAGCTCCACTTGTATTTGAATTAGTAGTTCTTGGTGAATCACCTGGTAGAGAAATGTAGTACATTTCTCTCTTCAGATAGCTAAAATGGGACCAATGGCACACTTGTCAGATACAGAACTGGAGTCCTGTAGTGTGCTGTCCACTGTGCTGTGATATTTTAGTTGCTTTGTTTGTCACGTGTTCTTATTGGCAGTCTGTGCCCATTACTCCTGTTGGTCCAGAATACTGAATCATGATGCACTCCCCAAGAGTACACTCCCCATGCAAGAGGCCATGTCTTTATGGGCTGGCTTAGGAAGTTCTGGAAAGAAAAGGAAGTGATGAGAAAACTTGAAGAGCTTAAAAGACAAGAAATTACAATATGAGTAACAGATATTTTCAATATTTCAGGTGGAATTTGTGTAATATTAAACTGTGTCAACTTTCAGAGGCAATTTTATTGATATGGTGCTATTTTGTTTTTTTGTTGTTGTTGTTGTTTTTTTGTTTTTTTTGGTTTTTCTCTGGTACTGGAAACCGAACTCACGACCTTGCACTTGCCAGGCAGGCGCTTTGCCGCTGAGCTAAATCCCCAGCCCCGATATGATGCTATTTTGAACATCTACATAATCTTGCAGATAATCTGTATGAACTCATTTGATCCTATACCTACAAGTGTCTTTGGTACATAATAAAGTCCCCATCAGCTTACATACATACTGTGATCAAACCTCAGGAGCATTTAATATTAGAGCAGTTACACGTTGAAGGGGAGAGGAAATTCCAACATATTAAGTATTCATGAAAGACATGACTAAGTAGGTCAGACTAGTGTGGGAGTCAAGAGATGGTTTTCAGAAGGCAAACAAAACATGTAAATTTCCTAACCACAGCATCTTATAACAAGATTCAACTAGAATATTGAGGGTATCAGCAATGCACAGGAAAAAATGGATAATTCGCACTTGATTATTTGATCTGTATGTTTTGTCATATGCAAGGAAGTTATCTGGCTTTTGTGTTTGCTTTTTTTATTCCAGTATGAGGGTTGAATCCAGGGCTTCTTGCATGTTAAGAAGGCAGTGTACTATTCTGCTACAATCTGCAGTTCTGTTTTCTAATAATAAATAATACCTCACAGTATGTTCTACTTGATGTGTAAACTCAGAAGCAAAGCAATGTCACTTCTTCCTTAAAGATGTGGATTGAGAATCTTTGTCTCATTCAACTGAAAGTTGGTTTGAAATAGGTGAGTAACATGGGCTTAGCAGCTGAACATGGTGGTGCATGCTTGTGATCCCAGCACTTGGGAGGCTGAGGCAGGAGGATCATTGCAAATTCGAGACTAGCCTGGTCTACAAAGTGAGCTCAAGGCCAGCCTGAACTGCAAAGCGA